TTAACAGGGTGTGGGTGCTTGGTCTTTGATTGGCTAGGTTGGAGTTGAGTTGGAAGAATAACGCCAATAGCTATAAGACGCTAATATGCAAAACCATAGACGCAGGAAAGTGAGAAATAGAAGACAAAAGAAGATATGGAACTAGGTGAGACAAAATTAATGAAATCCTATGGATAAATGCACATTGAAATGTGCATGTAATAACATGTTCCTTTTCAATGTCATCTTCACGTCTATTCTGACTTAGTTCAATGATCTCCACTAACCCTCCTAAATCCACCAAAATCCTTTGCGTGGTTTTGGAGGATTCTGGAGGATTTTGGAGAATTGAAGGTGAATGGCAAAAGTGCATGGCTGATTGCAAAGGAGTCACACAAGTAACTCACTCGGACACACCCCTGACAGCTTGGAGCACTATGCCACATTGGCAGGGTTCTTCCCATGCCGCCTTCCAGAGTATTCTCTCACTGACCCACAGGTCATATTCCAGCCGCTAGAGCGCTTAGGAGTATATTTGTGTCAAATTGAGTAGCTCACTCGAACGCACCCCTGATAACATACAAACACAACAATGGCAGGGTTCCCCCTACCCTCCCTCCCTACCCCAGGAGGGACTACAGGCTGGAAATTGAAAGATGATAGTCAAATTGTGCAGCAATGAAAAGGGTTCCTGGTCACAAGAGAGGATTGAACCAGCCATGTACAATGTGTCGCCGCTATTTTAAGTTAGACCTTCATAAATTTTTTCCAGAAGCCATTTCTTTCGCTCTCCATACGTATGTTGTCAAAATGTAAGCTATGAAATTTGCTGAACAGCACCAGTGAATAGTTGCCCTATGAATGCCGAGTTGATCCAATTTACTGTTTACGTGTGTGGATTTTCACTTTACCTGGCATGTCTGTCAATTGAACGGGCCCGTGTTGTTGCTGCTGCCTGCTTCTGTTGCACCCTAAATAAAAAGAAAAAATGTGATTTTTAAATGTTAGTTGAAGGGTGTTCAGGGCTTTTCCCGTGAGAGGATTTCAAAATCATTGGAGGCATCACAGAGCAGCTCGTCAGGGGTCATTGTAATGTCTCCAATTGTCATTATATGCTTTAACTCCCAAACTCATTGGGTGCATTTGTGTGGTTACTCCAGTTAACATGAGTAGGATGCATGCATGTGCATTACACCCAGGTGCAGGAGTATTGCTGACCCACGAATTGTACTCCAACCGTTCCAGCACTCAGGAGTCACACAAGTAACTCACTCAGACACACCCCTGACAGCTTGGAGCACTATGCCACATTGGCAGGGTTCTTCCCATGCCGCCTCCCAGAGTATTCTCTCACTGACCCACAGGTCATATTCCAGCCATTAGAGTGATTAGGAGTATACTCGTGTCAAATTGAGTAGCTCACTCGAACGCACCCCTGATAACATACAAATACAACAGTGGCAGGGTTCCCCCTACCCCAGGAGGGACTGCAGGCTGGTAAATTGAAAGACGTACTTGAAAAGGGGGTCTTTTGAAACAATTGATAGGGTCGTGGGTGCTCGGTCTTTCATTGGCTAGGTTGTGCTGGGGTTGGTAGGTGGGAAATACTACTACTAGTTAAAGCCATGAACTACGAGAAACTCTGCATGCATGGAAGAAAGAAAGACCAGACAATAAAACTGAAATAGGGTTAGACTAAATTAATTATTCATGTACCGTAAACGTCAAGGGACATGTTAAATTAAGTGTCATCTTTACTTTTCTTCTGACTTCCTTCTGCTTGAACTTTCATGTCGGTGTACATTTTAGTTCTTACCTCTTCTTCGGCGCCAAATCGCATATACGACTCCTACTATGCGAAAAAAGACAAATTCTCTCATTTACCACATGATATCTCAAAGGATGTAAATGCAAAAACTATTGCAATGATGAAAAGACCGTGGGATGCAAATAACTGTACAGAATTATACCCTCAGCCAAAGTACATGCACTTCTATCCAACGGGACAGAAGACTAAACCAATTCTGCTCTACCCACCGCCAATTCACTTACTTCTCTCACAAAGTTCAAACTTGGTAAGATTTCAAGGTTTGCATGGTGAGAGAACGTTGTCTGTAGTGACTTCATGGGATTGTTCTCTTTTGTGATCTAGTGTGGTTCTGATAGAAACCGTTTCCAACAGCTTGCTTATCCATTCACCTTCTCCTGAATGTACTACCAAGTATTCGCAGCATTTTTTTTAGTTTTTTTTCCCTTGTACGGCTTTTTTCTGCACAAATGTGAAGGTCCAGAGGGATATTCAAGATGTGTCTGACCATAGATCCAGATTGCATTCACAGAACTGTGTCTGCAGTAACAGACCTACATAGATATCACTTTTTGTCTTACAAGTAAGGGCCGGCGACCATTTAGACCCGGTTTGAAAAGGGCCCCCCGGTAGCCCACCCTGTATAATGCCTGCCCGGTATTCCGGTATAAGGCCTGTCTGAACATCAGCATTTCAAAGTCCCTGATGAAAGGCTTCCCCCAACATGCTTCCACAGATGAATAGGGGTATAAGCGGATTAGTGTAAACATTGTATAGAGCTGAAGGATTAAAAACCACAAGCAGGTTCCTTCTGGGATAGATTACATGTACCGCTACTTGCAAACAATAGACCCCAGGATGGAGAAGTTTGAGATCAACAACCAGTCCAGCATCCCAAGCTGGTAGCCAGGCTGGTATGAAAGGGGTTTTTGCAACAGGGCGAGCTTACTGGGGGGGGGCCCTTTTCAAACCGGGTCTAAATGGTCGCCGGCCCTAAGCAGAGGCGCGTATGATACTTCACTCACCAATTGTAACACCAACGCCCACACAAACTAGTGTCAGCCAGTCCATACACTCACTTAATCCAAATCCTGCTGAGGTGGGGGCCAGTGTTGTGTAAAACGTTGGTTCATACTGTGCGGAGGTTACGCTGTATGGTGCCATGGTAGCTGAGTAAGATGGTGACAGGTCGTCTGTGGAGGTCACATTTCCTATTGGTGCCATGGCTGATGATATCAGGGGATTCGGTTTAACTGTGGGGGGAAATATGATTTCAGTTACATATAACCTATGAATATGTTCACAGATACATGCACACCTTTTCAGTAAAAATTAACGTCATAGAAGAGATGCCACGCTGCATAACATGTTTACATGTAGTTGATACAGGGAAAAATTATTTCATTATTAAAAAACCAATGAGGCCAACAAAGCAAAGCCTGCAATGTCAGGTTTTTGCCAGATTTTTCCATTTTTGTGTGTCTAAATTGTAGCCTATGTTACATTGAAGCCTCTGTTACATTGTAGACTGTGTTACATTGTAGCCTATGTTAATGGTACATTGAAGCCTCTGTTACATTGTAGCCTGTGTTACATCATAGCCTGTGTTACATTGTAGCCTGTGTTACATCGTAGCCTGTGTTACATTGTAGCCTGTGTTACATCGTAGCCCATGTTACATCGTAGCTTATGTTACATCGTAGCCTATGTTACATCGTAGCCTGTGTTACATCATAGCCTGTGTTACATCGTAGCCTGTGTTACATCGTAGGCTATGTTACATTGAAGCTGATGTTACATCGTAGCCTATGTTACATTGTAGCCTGTGTTACATTGTAGCCTGCGTTACATTGTAGCCTATGTTACATTGTAGCCTATGTTACATCGTAGCTTGTGTTACATCGTAGCCTGTGTTACATTGTAGCCTGTGTTACATTGAAGCCGCTGTTACATTGTAGCCTATGTTACATTGTAGCCTGTGTCACATTGTAGCCTGTGTTACATTGTAGCCTACGCTACCTTGTAGCCAAAATTACATTTTAGCCTGTGTTACATT